ATAAAGAAATAGAAAGGTATGGCCCTTTCAGAGGGGAAACAAACAACAAGAAGATACAGAAACTGTCCCTGTAAAAGTCCTGATGGTTGGGCTACTAGAAAATTTTTTAAATTATTTTATTAATTATTATTTAATTTGATATAGAACATGTGCACTCACCACAGAAAGAAAAAAGTCGGGGGGAGTGAGAAAGCAAGGCACCAGGTCTGGGACTTGAACCATGGTCAGTCATGTGGTAGTCCAGCACCTTAATTATCACACCAGCTGCTAGTCCAGAATTTTTGTTTTTTTTAGAGAGAGATTTTACTATAGGGAGTGTACACTCACTGGACAGACAGAGAGACAGTGAGAAATCACCCTCCAAGGGGGACGGCCATACTGCAATCCCTTCTCCTCCATTCTCCTCTTAGGATCTTGGACATGCACGCCCAGTATGAGTTTTAAGCTACTGGGTCTAGGACTCATACTTTGGTCGACTACATGAGGGTCCAGTGACATAAGCATGCCATCTGCTGGACCCCACAAAATGTTTTTTTAATTGTTTATTTTTATATATCCACTTACCAGAGAGAAAGAATGTACCAGTCACACTACAATCCTCTTTGGTTTATTTCTACATCTCATCAAGATTTAGGGCATACATGCACACATGCATGGTGTGTTTTTTCAAGCCACCAGGCTGGGACTTAAGTCATGGTTGGCCATATGGGATCTAACTCCCACTGCACAACACTTAACCATTGCACTATGGGGCCAGACCATTAGACAAAGTCTTTAAAAACAACTGTTTGAAGGACACTCAAAGAATTAAAATAGGATGTGGAAAAAGTCAGCAAAACAATGTACGACAAAATGATAATATAAAAGAGAAAAATCCAAAAGAAAATTTTGGAGCAGAAAAGTGTAATGACTGAAATAAAAAATGTACTAGAGATGTTCAAAGGCAGATTTGAGCTGGAGAAGAATCAGCACACGTAAAGATAGGACAACAGATTTTAATTTAGTCTGGGCAGAAGAAAGAAAAAAAAATGAACAAAAATTAACAGTATAAGGGATCTGTGAGACCTAACAAGTGGACCAACATATATATTGTGAAAGCCCCAAAAGAAGAGACAAGGTAAGGAGCACAGAGAACACATGACAATATAATGGCCAAAGGATGAACTCAAAGAGATCCACAATGACACACATAATCAAATGATTGAAAGCCAAATACTGACTGAATCTTGAAAGCTGTAAGAGAAGAGCAACTTGTCACATACAAAAGATTCTCAATAAGATTATCAGTATATTTCTCATCTAAAAACAGGAGGCCAGAAGGTAGTGCATTGATATATTCAAAGGGTTTAAAACAAAAACAAACAAACAAACAAAACCAAGAATAACATATTTGTTAAAACTGTCTTTGAAAAGTGAAGGATAAAACAAGACATTCCCAGATAAGCAAAAGCCGAGAGAATATATTATCACTAGACTTGCTTCTGCAAGCAATGCTATTGGGAGTTCTACAGACGGAAACGAAGACACTAGACAATAATTCAAAGCCATAAAAATAAATAAAGATTATCAGTAAAGAAAAATACATAGATTATAAAATCAAGTATTTTTATAATAATGGTTTGTAACTTAAGTTTTATTTTCTAAGAGATTAGTGTATTTTATTTTTATTTTTATTTTTATTTTTTTTTTTGCTATAGGGCATGTGCACTCGCCAGAAAAAGAGACAGAGATATAGAAAGCAAGAAATCACCCCCCGGGGGGATGACCACACCACAATCCCTTCTCCTCCATTCTCCTCTTGAGATCTTGGGCACACATGTACACGTGCCCGGTGTGAGTTTAAGCCACCGCGTCCAGGACTCAAACCGCGGTCCATTACATGAGAGTTCAGTGACATAGCCATTACGCTAACTGCTGGTCCTGAGACTAGTGTATTTTTAAAAATTTGATTTATGGCTTGGGACACATAAATAAAAGTGATTGATGGAAATGTAAAGAAAATTTTTTGTATGTTGTATGTTATTAAACTTCAGCTAGCATAAATTAGAGTGTAATAGCGTTAGGATATTAAACGTAACCCAAATGGTAACCACCAAGTAAATAGCTTTAGAATGTACCAAAAAGAAAGTGAGGGAACCATCACCTGGCATAATGGTTATGTTGCTGGCCTCCCATGTAGTAGACCAGGGTTTGAGTCTTAGACCCAGTGGCTTAAAATTCATGCTGGGCACATGTGCATATGTGCCCAAAAATCCTGAGAGGAGAATGGAAGAGAAGGGATTGCAGCATGGCCATACCCCCAGGGAATGATTTCTCGCCTTTTGTCTGTCTCTCTCTTTGGCAAGTCTATGCACCTTGTATCAAAAATATCTCTTAAAAAAAAAAAAAAGGAAATGAAAAAGGTATTTGAATGTTTACTATTAAAAAATCAAGTAAACACAAAAGATGACAATAATGCATGAACTGAGGGATGAAAAAAATATAAGGCATAAAGAAAACAAATAGCAAAATGACAGAAGTAATTCTCTCATCAGTTGGCCTTAAAAATTCTGACATTGTCTACAGTACAACATGCATGAACCTTGACATTACATAATACTAAGAGAAATAAACCAGTCACAAAAGACAAATACTGTCTGATTCTATTTATATGTGGTACTCAGACTAGTCAAAAATCATAGATACAGAAAGGATGGTGGTTACTGGTAGCTGGGAGAAAAGGGAATGGAGAATTATTATTTAATGAGTATAGATTTTCAGTTTTGCAAGATGAAAGATGAATAAAATTAAATAATATTTAAAAAAAAAAACAAAACAGATTACCTTAGGAATCCTTCTGCTTTTTAAAACTGAAAACCAAAATATTTACTGTCTTGACTTCACTATGTCTGGGTTTCTTAACCTGGAGAACATAAACTTGAATGGGAAAGGAAATTACATCTGCATTTTCACTAACCTCTAATAAATTTAATATTTCTTTAATTTATGAATCTAGGCAACCAACCACAGTAGTATTAACAATTGTGACTGTCACCAAAGCAAATAAGAGACTTGTTCTATGTTACAATTGTTGCAGATATCTCAAATTATTATCAGTCTTCACCTCTACTTAAAAATGACAATAATTACAAATTCACTTGCATTTCTTTTGGTCTTCAATTTTAAGAAGCAGAAGATTCCTAAAGTAATCTGGTTTAAAAACTAAAATATTATTTAATAAATTTTTATAATTACCCACTAAAGTGTAGTCTGATTCTTTTCTTTGATTTTAGTTGTATAGTTCAGCATGTAGGTAGCCATCTTTTAAAAAAATAAAAAGGTTTTTGTCATAGGGCACATGCACTTGGGGTAGTGGGAGTAGAGGACAGGACAGTGAGAGGGAAAGTGAGAAATCACCCCCCAGGGGGAATAGCCATGCTGTAATCTCTTCTCCATTTGCCTCCTAGGATTTGGGGCACATGCACATGAACGCAGTATAATTTTCAAGCCATCAGGTCTGGCACTCGAACTGCAGTTGGCCATGTGGGAGTCTAGCACCTTAACCACTATACTACCTGCTGGCCCCAGCAGTCATCTTTATTGGGAGGAACCTAGACTAAGTTACCTGAAATTTGCAAAGGTATTCTGTTCTCTTTGCACACTAAAAACTTTAGTGTTTGTCAATTTAGAAGATTAGCAATTTAAAAGCAAAATGAAATGTAGCCTTTTTATTTAAATTTTATTTAAATTATCCTTTTTAAATGCTAGATTTTATTTTGCTTTTAAAAAGAATTTAATTTTCTCATTTTAAAATTCCAAATACATTAAATTTATGATAATATCAAGTATGGATTCATATTCAATTCTTTCTTTTAACATGTTTTATTCAATGGAAATAAATTATCTATTTTTTAAAATTACATGTTTATTACCCTGTTCTTATGTCACAATATTTTCTCAATACTCTTTTTACATAGTTACTGGATAATATGATCGCTACAATTCTTTACCAAAAAACTAAGTAATACATCAATGGCATAGAAATTATTCTCTTAGTCAATTATTACACATATTTTAGATCTTCAAAGTATTTTTCAAACCTAAAAAATGACACATATGACTTAAAATATGGTAATTAGCAACAATTCAGTAACACTTCTAAACAGTACTAGTTCTTAATTTTTTTTGCCTCCTTTACAGTATTTACTACATTTCTATACCTTTTACCTCCCTGTAAGGTATGCATGTGTCCTGGATTTTTAAACTGAAAAAAAGTATAGTATGGAGCATAATTTGTGTTTGTCAAAGGCCTATTGTTTTCATCAGGGTCCTCTTTTAAGGCATTGAAGACCAAATAATGCATATGTTATGAATAATGTATCTGGGTGCTCTTGACTATTTGATCTCTCACCCCAATTTATATGTTGAAGAACTGTCCCCAGTGTGATGGAATTTGAAAATGGAGCCTCTGAAAAGTAATTAGTTCATGAGGGTAGAGCCCTCATAAATGGGATTATAAGAGGAGACATGAGAGAGATTTCTTTCTCTGTCATGTCAAAAAACATGAAGAAGGCATCTGTCTATAAACCATGAAGAGCAATCTGTTGGCACCTTGGATTCTTATCAGAAACTCAATTGCTTGATCTTGGACTTGGATCTTGATCTTGGACTTGGATCTTGATCTTGGATTCTCCAGCCTCCTGAACTGTGAGAAACATATTTTTGTTGTCTAAGCCACCCAGTTTATAGTATTCTGTAGTAGCAGCCCAAGCTAACCAACATAACATCTGGTAATAGTAAGTGAGGTACTGCTATAACCAATACATAAAGGTGAGGAGACAGTTCTAAAATTAGGCAATGGGTAGAGGTTGAGAGAGTTTTGTTATGTTTTGTTTTAGAGGTTTTTGCTTGCCAGAGAGAGACAGAGAGAGAGAGAGACAGTGAAAGGGAAAGTAAGACATCCCCTCCATCACAGGGGATGACCACACCACAATCCCTTCTCCTCCATTCTCTCCCCAGGATCTTGGACATGCATAAATATGTGCTTGGTGTGATTTTGAAGGCACTGTGTCCAGGACTCAAACCATGGGTGACCATGTGGGGATCCAGAGACATAACTTCTACACCATCTGTTGGTCCCAGTTGGGATAATTTTGAGGTGCATAGGACAAAAAGCCAAATTTTCCATGAAAATGTTCCCATTTTTTTCAGAGAATACACAATCATGAATAGGTTAGAAATATGGACAGTAAAGACCATTCTGATTAGGTGTCAGATAGAAATTAGGAACAAGCTATCGAAAAGGCAATCTTTGTTATAAACTGGCAAAAAACTTGACTAAATTTTGTGGGAGGTGAAACTTGTGAGTGAAGAAACTGGGTACTTAACTGAGATCTTTAATCAAAGTGTTGAAGGAGTAGCGTGGTTCCTCCTGACTGCTTATAGTAAAATATGAGAAGAAATGAAAAAATTAGTAACAAGAAAAGGAACCAGAACTTAAAGGTTTGGAAAATTCTCAGCCTGTCCACATTATGAAAAGGAGAAAATGTGTCTGGAAGAGAACACTACGAGTGGAGCAGACTGACCAGTCAATAAGATTAGTGTGGTTTTATTTCATAGATTAGCCACCCTAGGAAGAAAATTGCTAGTTTGAACTGAAGGAATTGAAGGTGAGAATGAAGCAAAGCTATTGAACTTTGATTTTACAAGATGGGACAATAGAGCAATGTGACTGTGAAAGTACACTGTTATTCAGCACCAAGGAAGAATGACCCTGTAGGTTATTTGGAGATCATCAGGTCTGTCTTTTAAGTTTCAATGGGGGTAGCCTCACCTTGGTTTCAACAGATAATCTCTGACTGGAGCTGTGAGGACCTAGCCTCCTTCAACAGAGTCCTGAGGGCAAGACCTCTACCCAGCTGGTCCTGAAAGTAGAGTATCAAGCCAAGAGGATTATTTGTGAGCCTTAACATTTCATGGAGTTTTCCTTGCTAGGTTTTAGATGTATCAGTGATCTGTTATCCTTTATTTCCTTCCTGCCTTTCCCATTTGGAATGGGAATGTCTACTCTATACCTGTTCCATCATCATTTGTTGGAAACACTTAACTTGGTTTTACAGGCTCACAGCTGGAAAGGAATTTTTGCCTCAGGATGAATACTCTCAAGTCTCGTCCATGTCTGATTTTTTTATTTTAGAGTTGACATAAGAATGAGTTAAGATTTGGGGGTTATGTGTTAGAAAAGCCTAATTTCAGTTTCTCTATCCTTTCCACAACACAGAAGATTTCTGCGATCAAGTGTGTCCATAGTTCTCTCCACCAGCACGCAGCAAACACTGGCTGGGCACCCTCTAATCCAATTAATTCCGGTGCTCTATTCCTGCAGATATCTCCATTGGTTAAAGGTTTATTCCCACAAGACTTCCACTTCAGACACCAGTCCAAAGTTGAAGCCTCCAGACCTTCTCCAGGCTTTAAGTTGGGGTTCTCATGATCCCCTCTTTGGACTTACTTTGCTAGAACAGCTCACAGAACTTGGGAAAACATTTTTATTAGATTATAAAGGCTACAAGTAACAGTCAAATAAAAAGAGACATAGGAGGAGCTCTGGAAGGGTCTCAAGTGCAGGAGCTTCAGCCCCCATAGTTTAATGTCTCACAATGCCAGTATGTGGGGTGAGTTCTTATTTACCCTCTTGCAGGCCTCCATGTGTTCAGCTGTCCAGAAGTTCTCCATACCTTTTCCTTTTGGGCTTTTCATGGAAACTTCACTGGATAGCATGAACAATCATGTAGAAATAGGACAGAACTGAAAAGGGTATGATCTAATGCTAACAGACTGAGTGGAGAAACCCACCATGGCCTGTCCAGATACTTGGTTGGCCTCTGTGCAGCATTCCTCACTTCTGAGTATGTGGCAGGATCCTTTCTAAAATGTGGGTCTCACGGTTTACTATCAGAGAAGATAGGTCAGATAAATTTTTTATGGTCATCTTCAAGATAGAAAGTTGAGGAAAGATTACAGCATATTTTCAACTTCCATAACCTACCTTGCAGAAGACAAAGTTAATCTTTATGGACTACCTTTAAGAGAAAAAGGAGCAGGTGAAAGGAGGTAAGGAGAAATGTATACTGTCTTTCACCTTTCTCTCTCTGAAGCTGTTCCAGAGCTACTTCAGAAACCATGGACAAAATATTTTATGATATGCTATTGTTCTAGTCACTTAAGAAATAAGGGTTATGGGAATTTTAAGGAGGAAAAATCATGGGCACAAACCTATCTATGTTTTATATATCATCCTCTCTCTCTCTCTCTCTCTGTGTATATATATATATACACACACATTTCTTTTTTATATAAAATTTCATAATATCACTTTTGGGATGGAATGAGTATATTTTGCATGTGAGAAGGACATGAATTCTGTGGGACTCAGTATGGAATGTTACTGAGTGAATCTTCATTCCCTCAAAATTCATGCATTAAGCCCTAATCCCTTCTATGGCATTTGGGGCTGGGGCTTGGGGAGGCAATTATAAGAGAAGCAGAGAGTCCATTATAATAAGACCTGAGTATCATCATAACAGGAGACACTTGAGTTGATATTTTTCTCATGTGGGTATACAGCAAGAAGCTAACCATTGGCAAACCAAGAGGGCCCTCATTAGGATTTAAATTAGCTGGTACCTTGAAATTGGACTTCCTAACCTCCATAACTGTGAGAAATAACTTTGTTGTTTAAGCCACCCAGTATATGTTATTTTGGTATAGTCACCTAAGCTGACTAAGACATAGGGCTTAAAAAAATGTTTATTAAAGTTTACAATGGGTATTAAGTTATTATCCTTCAGGACAATGACACTATCTATAAAATTATATTCTAGACAACCACGGTGCAAATTTTACCTTACTCATCTCCTACAGCTCTGCTACTAGAAACACAAATGTGAAATGCAATACATGTAATTTAGGTCACATGTTTGCTTTGGTTTCTTAACTGAATCTATTCCAGTTCATCTATTTTTCATTAACCATACAGGAAAATATTCAGGCTTCACATGATACAAATTGTAACTTGTTTAAAATCCAGAGTTTTGGTAAAGCAGGGAATGCAGAGTGTATATCCAAAAATACAATGTGTGAGACATCTAGCCTGCTATGACGTGTCTAGTTTGGGGATGGGATGTGATTATTTCACATCATGGTTTTTGTCAAATACTAGGTATTTTTTTCCAGAAGAATACTTCCTGCTTTCTATTTACTGCAGCAGAATCCACAAGCCTGGCTTTTCTCATGACACGTCGGAATGCTATGCTTCACATTTTCTTCTTTTTAATGGGAAAAACTCCGAGGACATCTCTTCTTTCTGAGTAAAGATGACTGTAGGTAAAATACATACCTAATGTGGAGAAGGAAGTGGCAAAAGTAAGTTAGGTTGATTATCATTTCTCCAGAACAAAGCATGTTTTAAAAATACAGTGAGAGTGTCATCTATATTCTAGGAACAAGACATTTTTTCAAGGGAAATCCAAAGAAACAAGGGTCCAGATTTTATGCAGCAAAGGAAGTAAATAAAATTCCTCCATCCTAATTTTTTTTATATAAGAAAAGTTTTTCTTTTCAGGTTCTCTCCTCCCCTTGTAAAGTTTCATATTTGTCCTTTCTCTATATATTCTGTTATGGTCTGATACTCATTACTGTCTAATCATTATCTTGGGCATTTGTGAAGGTTAGAGCTGGGGAAACTGAAATTTAAGGATGGGAATCTTGTTCCCAATGTACAAAAAAAAATAAGTTAATCAAATGTTTTCAACTAAGTTTTTGTTCCATAAATTTTCCTGAAGTTGTTAGCCTGCTCCCATTTGCTTACTAGGAAGGCCCAGCACATAAGGCCAAACAAAGAGGAAACAAAATAGCCATAAATGGGGAAACCAGAAATAAGACTTGTTTAATTGGACATCTGCATTTTGTTTGTAAATAACTGTGCCTGTGGTCTATATTTCATACAAAATTCAGGAATGTTTTCTGCTAAGAAAGCTGCTCTTGTTCATGCAATGAAATGGTGATCTAGTTGATTTCATGGAGCCCTGAAGAAAGCATTATAACTTCCAGGTGCTTTACTAACAAAATCTGGTTCATCCTGTCAGGTTTCCTCTTCAGTCTCGCTTGTGTTTACTAGCCTGTCTAGTAAGGTAGATGACAGCACAAACCACGCATAAAAGGAATGCTAAAATACCACCCCCCCCAAAATAAAAACCACTTACCTATAAACAGCATCATGAGATATATTTTCAGCACGTATGGAAAATAGATGGATAAGTCAAAGGGCAGTGTTGTGGAATAAGTGCCAAATGATTCAAAATAAGGCAGTGACTCATAGATGGCAAATGCTATTGAACAGAAAAAAAGACAAAAAGGTTTCCCTCATTAATTTGTTACAGGGTGTGTGTGTGTGTGTGTGTGTGTGTGTGTGTGTATACACATATATATATATATATATATTAGGTTGTTGGACAGTCATGACATATTTTGTTTTTCTATGCAAAAATGCATCATGACAATGCCAACAAACCAGTATATCTCTAGGGCTGTGGGATATTTTGAATTGATAATGAGAGTTTTGTGGTGATTGTTAAGTTCTTTAATAAAGCTACAGTTTGATAGAGAAATCAACTGAATGATTAAGTTGACAAGGTTATTATATCAGTGTGACTTCTAGAATTTTTGTTCATTGCATACTTTGTCATGCCTGAGAAAAAGTTTAAAGTGTTTCATAAAAAGGTATCTCAAAATAAATTGGTCCTCTTAGGCACAACCCGGGTTGATGGTCAAATGAATTTGGAGAATACTGCATATATTTTCCTCTTAGAGTTTCACAGTATTCATTAGTATAGCAGAGATTCTGAGAACTTTTTTTTTTTTTTGAGAGATTTTCACTGTAGGGCGCGTGCGCTCGCCAGACAGACAGAGAGAGACATAGAGACAGAAAACGAGAAATCACCCCCCAGAGGGGATGGTCACGCCGCAATCCCTTCTCCTCCATTCTCCTCTCGGGATCTTGGGCACGCACGCACACACGCCCGGCGTGAGTTTTAAGCCACCGGGTCCGGGACACGAACCACGGTCGACTACGTGGGAATCCAGCGACATAGCCATTACGCTAACTGCTGGTTCCCAGATTCTGAGAACTTTTGACATAAACTAATTTTACCCATCCTTTCTTCCACCTTACTGACCTGTAAATATCTTCTTCCTCCCAAATCCCTAGTAGTACTTAATAAAAACTCCAAGGAACTCAATGAAAAATACTGGTTTAAATTATTAGTATTTTGAGGGAAAAAGCTAGTATCAGATAAAAAGAGATGGTGGTGGGACCAGCAGTTAGCGTAATGGCTATGTCACTGGACTCCCATGTATTCAACCACAGTTCGAATCCTGGACCCAGTATCTTAAAACTCACACCAGGTGCATGTGTGTACATGCCCAAGATCCCGAGAGGAGAATGGAGGAGAATGGATTGTGGAGTGGCCATCCCCCCTGAGCGGTGATTTCTCGCTTTCTGTCTCTGTCTCTCTCCATCTTTCTGGTGAGTACAGGCACCCTATAGCAAAAGCCTCTCCAAAAAGAAAAAAAAGATGGTTCTCTGAAAATTGTATCCTAGGTCTAGATTTTCTATAACATTTCATGGACTAACATGATAATATACTGTGGCTATGTAAGACATTATCATTAGAGAAGCTGGGGAAAGGATACATGGAAACAGTGCACTATGTTTTTAAAACTTCTTTTGAGCCTAAAACTATTTCAAAATAAAAAGTTTGTAAAAGGGGAGAGATGGAAGTGAGGAACCCAAAGCTGCTACAGCTGGACAGAGCAGCAGTATCAGTGATACCAGTGCTGGGTCTGAGCTGACACCAAGCATGACATCTAAGGTTAACCCAGGCTGTACTTAAGTGCCTCCCATGTTATCTGTATCATTAGTTCATTTGGTTATTTATATGAACTTTATTCTTGTATTTATCAGATGGGCAATTATAGTTACTAAAAGTAATAATATTAACTATTAAAAATTAACAAAAGCAAAGTGGGTTTTCTTAACTTCACATTTATACTTTGAGACATAAAATTATAGTCACTCATATTCCATCATCTAGAAGTAATCATTACAGACATTTTATCATAGGTGTTCTAAACATTCTTCTGCATGTACCTTATTATATAATTATAGGAATAAGTTTATGAATCTAATAAAAGAATGTGGGTTATGACAGCCATACAAGAATATGGTTTTCCTAGAAAACATGTGGTTTTATTTTATATAGTGGCCTTTAAAATACTTTACAATCATTGTCAACATTACCATCATTTCATGTTAAATCCATTTATGTTCTTCCCTTAGTTACCTTAACATGCTTTCTTAATTATTGTATGCCCTCAGTTTTCAAAACTTTAATCTTGTCTTTCAGAAAGCTCTGTCAGTCTACCAAATACATTTTAGAAGGAAGGTCAGATTCCTCAAATATCCTAAAGCTCTGCAAATTGAGGATCTTGATTATTTTAAGTTTCAAATGTTAATTTAGGCTATGTAATTAGCCTACATCATAATATACTCAATAATTCAGTCAGTGTTCATTTAGCATGTATATTGTGCATATAGGAAAGGAAGGAATCAAAGAAACAGACATCACTGTGCCCTCCTGGAGCCTAGAGTCTAGTCAGGGAAATGGACATTAATCTAAGAGTCATACACGTGTCCAATTACAACTGAGATAGGTCCTGTAAATGAGAGATTCATGATGCTGAACTAGGGGGGATTAATTTAGTTGAGGAAGTCAGGGAATCCTGCCCTCAGACAGTGATGATTAATATTAGAGTTAACTAGCTGCTGGCAGAGGGTAGAACACACAGTAGTGATAAGTGGGAAGGATCGTCTAGCCAGAGACAATTGCATTTCTATGCATTAAAAATAAAACATCAGGGGCCAGCAGGTAGCATGGTAGTTAAGGTGCTGGATTTCCATATGGTCAACAGCAGTTCAAGTCTGGGACTTGGAGGTATGAAAATCATGCTGAGCACATGTATGAGCATGCCCAAAATCCCAAGAGGAGGACAGAGGAGAAGGGATTGCAGTGTGGCCATCTCCCCCATGGGAGTGAGGGGTAGTTTCTCACTTTCCCTCTCTTGCAAATGCATGCACCCTATAGCAAAAACCAAATATTTATTAAATAAATAAAACATCATAGAATCTTTAAATATCAGACTCCTTTCTGATTAGTAAACAGACTCAGACCCATATACTGAGTTAATGAAGTTCACAACCAGGACTCAGATGTCCTCTTTTCTTACACAATATTTTGTCTACTGTGAAGAGCTGCTTCCCTCACAACTTTGTCTCTTTTTGTTTGTTTTTATTTTTTGTTTTATTTTGTTTGGGGAGAGGTTTTTGCTATAGGGCGTGTGCGCTCGCCAGGAAGACAGAGAGAGATAGAAAGACAGAAAGCATGAAATCACCCTGCAGGGGGGACGGCCACACTGCAATCCTTTCTCTTCCATTCTCCTCTCAGGATCTTGGGCACGCATGCACAAACTCCTGATGTGAATTTAAGCCACTGGGTTCGGGACTTGAACTGCAGTCAACTACATGGGAGACCAGCAACATAGCCATTATGCCAACTACTGGTTCCCTCTTTTTGTTTGTTTTTATAAGGCAGAGGGCACCTGTTCTAACCCAAGAGAGTGGGCAAGAGTGCCCCCTAGTGGGGTGTGATCACAACCCAATTCCTCTTCTCCATTTCTCCATCCTGTTAGAATTTTGGGCATGTACACATATGCACCTAGCATGTTTTCCAAGCCACCAGAGGTGGAACTTAAACCACATGGTTAGCCGTGTGGGATCTAGCCCCCTTAACCACTAAGCCACAGGACCAACCTACCAACTCTGCTTTATAATGCTTTTCTTCTTTGCATCAAGGGAAATATGCCAGGAAAGATACATTGAGTGAAAATAAGCACTAGCAAAAATAGTAATTTAATCATCAAAATTTAATGAACCATTTATAGCTAGATGGCTTTTGCCAGTAAGCAACGCAGCAAGTCACTGTCTTCTTACCTTCAGCAAGAACACACAGGGGATATATCAGCATCCACAGTGTCTGACTGAGCCATGTCAAGACAGAATAGGATATGCCGATGACTGACAGCATGCTGTATGTGTACCTGAAAGGAGACGAAGAGCTTATAAACCTCATTTGCTGCTGATGTCTAAAGAAGAAACAGGAGAAGATACCTTACAACATAATTAAGTACCAGGATAGAACTATAAAGTGTGCAAATTACATATTGTGTGTCCTACAACTTAAGTAAGAGAAGAGGTTGAAAAATGGGAAGAGGACCATGTCTGGCTTGTCCCGTGATGTAGATCAAGAAAATGACAGAGCTGAACAGAGCAGGAAT